CTCTCCACTTACCTCCTACTAAAGACAAAAAAGCTTTCTGCAGCTTCACAGGCACATCACACATGTCCATTCTCATGTTTGCAACAAAGTGCAAAAAAGCAGCCCTGCGGAGAGGGACCTGGGAGTCCTGGTGGACAACAAGTTAAATATGAGCCAGCAGTCTGTTCTTGTGGCCAGGAAGGTTAATGTTATCCTGGGTTGTATTAGGAAGAGTGTTGCCAGCAGGTTGAAAGAGGTTCTTCTCCCCCTCTCCGCAGCCCTGGTGAGGCCCCACCTGGAGTATTGTGTCCAGTTCTGGGCTCCCCAGTACAGGAAGGACATGGAGCTCCTGGAGCATGTCCAGCAAAGAGCAACTAAGATGATTAAAGGACTGGAGCATCTTTCATATGAGGAAAGGCTGAGGGAGCTGGACCTGTTCAGCCTGGAGAAAAGACGACTCAGAGGGGATTTGATTAATGTTTATAAATATCTAAAGGGAGAGTGTCTAGAGGAAGGGGCCAGACTCTTCTCATTGGCACCCAACAATAGGATGAGAGGCAACGGGCATAAACTGCAGCACAGGAAGTTCCACCTGAACATAAGGAAGAACTTCTTTACTGTGAGGGTGCCAGAACACTGGAACAGGCTGCCCAGAGAGGTTGTGGAATCTCTCTCCCTGGAGATATTCAAAACCCGTCTGGACAAAATCCTGGTTCATGTGCCCTAGGAGTCCCTACTTGAGCAGGGTGGTTGGACTAGATGACCTTCAGAGGTCCCTTCCAACCTCAACCATTTTGTGATTCTGTGAAGCATCTAAAAGTTCTGAATCTCTTTTAGACCACAGACACCAGAGAGAGGCATAATATTTATCTGGTGCCCATCAAGCTCCACTGTCTCACTGTCTCTCAGAAATGATCTTTTTTTAAAAAATGGCTTATAGTTGTTGACAGGAAAGGAAGAAGGACATTTCTTTGGAGAACAGAAATAAAACTCAAACTTGGAGCAAATTTAAAACATTTGAAAAGCAAAAAGCTTAGGAAGAATTGGCTTCTCACATTAGTATATTACATTATCTGTTTAAAAAAGGTCATCGTTGAGAATATTTTTTCCCATGTCTAAATGAAAATACTACCAGATAGTCTTCCGAGGGCAACAGAACTACTCTGCCTTCTGTAGTGTAACCAACAGTAGAATCTTTCATTCCAGTGATGGAGTCATGCAAAATGAAATCAGATTTTTCTAGTGGATTTCTCATTATGAGCCATTTAAAAGAAAACTTGTCTTTGAACTTGTCTTCTTTCTGTGAATTGAGATTAGAGCATCTTTTGAATCACAGTGCTTACAGTGACTTTCAGTGTTTATGTGGCATTTCTAGGACATTTCACATATGAAACCCATTTCACTAATGGGTTAAATTCTAATATCTAATATCTAATATCTAATATCAGGCACCCTCTTCGTGATAGAGGAAGGGCTGCTATACCAACTTTGTAGTTGTTTCTCCCATTCAGAATTGTCTTGAAGCCAGAGGTTGGATACCTAAAACTGCAAAACCAAGTCTGTGTGGTAGAGAATGGCACCATTGATTAGAGCCACAGATACAGATTTAAAAGAAGTTACAGCCTCTGGCTCAAGGCTAACACAGATTTGAATCCCCAGTTTATATTGTTACACCCAGTAACAAATGAAAAAAATAACTTATTGGGACTTTGAAATGGGTAAATCCTTTGGCTTACAAGCAGTAGGTAAGAAGTGAATACTATCGCTTCAGATTAATAAGGTGTGTTATTTCCCTGCAGCCATTAATTATGATCTTGACCCACTGTAATTGTAATATATTGTCTTTAATTTATAACACCAACTAATCTCCTACCTTTTCCCCACTTTTTCTTGACAGAGAGAGCGGCTGAGAAATATTGAGCGTATTTGCTTCCTCTTGCGAAAGGTGAGCATAAAGTAGCCTAGAAATTGTAAAGTTTGTGAGACTTAAAGCCATCAAGTGGCAGTGTGCATTTATTTGCTCTTTGAATGATCCTCACACTTTGTTGATGAAAGACTGGATTCTGCGGCAGAAGTGGAAGTCATGATGACCTTGTAAGGACAGAGTAAGACAAATTATAAAAGGTTAACATAAGAGGATTTCTGGGTAAGAACTGAAACTTCAGAGCATCTGCCCATTCATTTTGGAACATGCTTTTCAAAGGCAGTGAATCATTCTGCAGTTGCCGTTTGAGATGCTTTTATAACCCTATCAACTCTAGAAATGCCCTTTTTTTGAACAGTGGCTTACTAGTTGATAAACTAAACATTTTATTAGCTACATATTTAATGTTTAAGTTTTTTAACTGGCTGAATAGGAAAAATGATACAGTATTTATTTTAACTTGACACAAAAGAGATGCTGAATACCTCAGTTTCTGAGGAATTTGAAGGAGCTAAATTTGTAAGATAGATGAGTTACTCGGCTGTAGCCTGAAAGAGGGTTTTCATAAACACTAATTGTTCTCCTGACTCCATCCCATTGAAGTCTAAATAATCATAGTTCCAAACTATTTTATTCTATATATTCAAGTTTCTGTAAATTGCCTTCAGCAGCATAGTGATGGAGCCACTGAAATTATTCTGCATTTTTGCTTAGAAAGGTTATGAGTGAAGCGTGGACTGCTGACCACATTCTGATCAAGCTAAGAACTAAATTCAGATACCATTTCAAGAAACTGATGGCCTCATCCTTAGAGGTTTTGGGAAAGCCATTGCATAGGGATTATTGGTTTGGGGTGATCCGAAGGCGTAACTGTGACTCCATGCAGAATCTATGAAGTGTCATTCTCTGATCAGTCAGGACCTGAGCTGTATCTGTTTGGCACCATTATGAGCATGTGACTGTGAGGAGCCACATTTAAGTACTTAGCCTGGTTATGACACTAGGGTTATGAAAATAAGAGAAAATACTTACCACCAATAGCTTTCCATTTTATCAGATAGGCAGCCACCCAGTTTCAAGCTGTGTTCCAGTTTCTTTGACGTAAAGTGAGTGGTAATGTATTAATATATGTGAGCCCCGTAGGCTGCATCAGTGTTTAATTTTTATTGAGCCTCATCCTCATTGTGAACAGCAAAATGCAGCATTTTGGCTAATTACAGACTCTGTTAATAAAGGATTGGCTTGCTTCTGGTTCACTTGAAGTGTTTGTTAATGTAGCCTCTTCTTCAAAGTGCTTTGGGGACACATTTGTTTTAATTGAGAGATTATATGCAAGAGGAAGGTGCAATAACTACTGGGATTTGTAGTCTTCAGATCTGACAGTCACTAAAAATAGCTTTAGTTTATGTAGTATAAAGGAATCACTGTTAGGGAAAACTCTGGAAAAACAGTAAAGAATTGAGTGCCAGCTGCATAGATACGGGAAAATAGCAGTTAGGATGCTTTCAGCAAGCACTAAATATATCCCTCATTATAACATTGTGTGACTTTGTCTGTTTCTCTTTCTATGAAACAACATAGTATCTGTTTTCCTATGTCTTGAAGTAAGATAATTCTTTTAAAGGGTTTTGAAAACGGTGATATCTTGCTATTTATGACATTAGAACTTAATGCTTAAGATCTGCTGTAATCTGTTTTTTAAAGAGGTTATAGGTGGGCTATAAAAATATGTTCAGTTTCTTTATATCCTGGTTTTAGAAGGAGGTCTTGGAAATTATTAAATGAACATACAATACGTCAGATAAATCTAATCCCAGTGGGCAAGGAGTTTCTTAAGGATGGATTTTAGTTTTCATCTCCAAAATATCTGGAGAAAATTGTTAACAAACTGTGACTAGGTATGTGATATGTCACTAGATATTATGTAACTTATTTATATTTTCAAAAAGAGAATGGAGGATGTAATTGTTCTACAACCAGGCATATTCTGATGTTTGGTTTGGGGAAAATGTTTCTATATCATTAAAACAAATACGGATCGTGTGAAGCAGATGTATATGCTGCTGGCACGTGTACACACATGTACACATAGGTCCGTGTTTTTATGCTGCTATAGAATTAGAATGAGACCAGCCTAAGTTTTCTGGTTACTGTATAAAGAAGCTATGAACTTTGTGTAGCTATGGTCAAATCTCTTCTGTCCTGAAGTAAAGGAGAGGAAGGACTTATTTTCTGAAGCCAGCACAAAGTGAAGTTCTCTCAGGATACAGATATCTCACTTCTTTCAGTGGTGTGTTTTTGGGGTTCGTGTGTGTGCTCGTTAACCTGTTGAATGTCTACCAATGTCCATTGTGTGGACATTGGCGAGTCATACAAGTGTTACTTGATTCACATAGGACATAACACTAGTTTTGGCAAATGCTGTGGAGTTTGTATAGGAGCTCTCTTTTTTGCTAAATTACCTTTGTTTCTCTAAGGATATGATTACGTGACACACTACAGCTCTGTACAGAGAAACACAAACTAGTTGTGGATGAGCTGTCTTGAGCTAGTGGAAGCAGTACAGCCTTCTTGGGCTCATTAGTCCTGCTGAGGAGTGGGATAGGTGAGGTGTGCCATATAGGTCTACCTTGATTTTTGTGATTAAATATTTTGGTGGGGTTATTAAAATACATTCAATTAATGATGATAGCAATATTACATAATTGTAGTTGCAGTTGTATTTCAAGAAATCTACCTACCTGATTGATTCCTGTTGGATATACTTATAGCACTAATGACAGTTAGGAATTTCCTAGATTAAAACATGGTCTACTTCATTAATCAACTACTGTAATATTATTACTTTACTTTTGAGGAGATTAAAATTAAGTTGTGATTACGTTATGCATTGTAATTTTTTAATTAATCTGATAAATCCTTAGTAAGGAGGTGAGTTGATTGAACTTCCTTCCTGCTCAGCGAACGTATTTCAGACTTCAGTTTGCTCGTGCCAAACACTGCTGAACAACGTAAGTGACCTTTCTCAAATTATCAGCAAATATTTGTTTTTAAACTCCATTAAGCTAAAGTAAGAGTGATTTGTGATCAGCAAAACTGGAACTGGAACTTACCTTGGAAGATATTGAGGTAGATAAAGACACTTTTATTCATTTTCCTACTTTAGCAGAGCATTTTGGTTGTTAGGCATAAAATTCATAAAACTGCAAGCGTAAGAAAATATTGTGCCAGAGCTCAATCCTTTTTCATAGAATCATAGAATGGTTTGGGTTGGAAGGGACTTTAAAGATCATCTAGTTCCAACCCCAGTTTCTTGATTTTATTTCAGTTTTATTGTTTTGTTGGGTTTTTGGGGTTTTTTTGCAAGTCCTGAAGGGATGATTGGAAGAGAGCAAATTCAGCAAGAAATCTAACCACAGGCAAGGTGACATTAATCTTAAAGATGTTCCAGATGAACTTGAACTGTATTGAAAAATACAAATATGCAGACAAAAAAACTCTGCAGGGACAAATTTGAATAACCAGACTTAGCTGGTTCAGCACTCCATTACTAGCAGTAGCAACAGCAACAGTAGATTGTAAATCAGGAACTGGGGTGTTTAAAAAACAAACAACAACAACAACAAAACCCCCAAAATTTCTTCAGTTAATCTTTTTTGAAGCAAGCTTTAATGTTTTAGTTAGAAGGTTGGGGGTTGCCAGTGCTTCATCTGTTCTAGTACTTCTTACATTGTGGCTTCCAGTGGAGGTGGATCTGCAGTAGTAGCAGTGGGAATTTATTCTGTACGCAATAGTTCTGGTGTTTACCAGATTCAATTCTGGCTTTTACTACTCTGCAAGTAGTCTCTCATAGTCGCTGTCAAGCCTAAGATAATGTAATGGATTTTAAGTGTGTGTTTCTGGATATGTCAGTTGATTGCTCACTCATGGATTTAGGGATTTATAAATGTGTGACATTATTCTAGCTAGTCTGCAGGCTGATAGTCATTAGCAGAGTACTTCTGTAAGCCTATAGCATGGTTCATTAAATCACTTAATGTAAGGTTATATAAGCAAATTTAGCAAATGTGATGCATAATCACAAGGCATTTTTTAAGTGGTGTGTATCTATCCATATGTAAGAAGGAATCATACTTTCTTCCTGGGGTTGAAAAATTTTATAGGCAGAAACTACAACAATAGGACAATCAATTTGTTGCAGAACTGGGAATAACAGCAATAGTTTTACTTTTTGTAGTGCTGTACATTTTTTACAACCTCAGTAGAGATGTTTTAATTCCTCATTTAGTTAGGCTTGACAGAAAAAGAAAGTGTTGCAGCAGAGCCACATTAGAGGGATAAGTCTACAGGGTAAATACATAAAGGTTTGTGGTATGCATTATGCATTATATTCAGCACCTCCTCACCAGTAGTCAACATTTTGTCTTTGAAATTTAGGTGCTTGTGTTCTGAGAGGAAAACTGAATTTTTAGTCTAGTCAAAAGATATTGGACTGTGGCAATAGCAGTGGTATTCCACCTTGCAGGACAAAGAAGCTGGTGTATCCAGAGTTCTGATAAACTGCTGCTGTCACAAAGATCACAAAGGGAACAAAAAATGGCACCATGTGACATTTTTCCTGTTAACAGCGATTGTTACAATGATGAAGCACATGAACTTTGTCTAGTCTCATTAGAGACCATAGAGTTCATCATTGTTACTGTCTTCTCAGTACATGTTGTATTTCTTGATGTACCTAATGCTCTCTCTTTTCATACCACATCAATATGATTAAAGTGCTGAGTTTTGACTGATCATCTGGGCAGCAGGAAAACTGTCAGGAGACCGTTCCTACTGAGTGACTGGGAGCATAAACCCTAATCAAGAGACAATGTGGGTAACTTCTGAAGAATGAATATAGAATTACGTATATAGAAAACATACTGCAGGTAACCAGATAGTTACTCAGTACTTTGTCTCCCTATGACTCAGTGCAATACAGAAGCTTGCACCCAAGCAGGCATTGCTGTGTACAAAATGGT